GTTGGGAGGGACCTGTGCCTTCCTGATTGCCGTCGACAAATTAGCGGCGCCCAAACAAAATGAAATTAAATCTCTCTCGCTTCTCCCCAACTCGGTTGCGTGGTTCAAACCCGAACAGTCGGAGACCCTTTGCCATAAAATACACCTCACCCCCCTCCATTAAGCAGCAGAGAATTGAGGTTAAGCGCTGGGTTGACAGCGCACTCCGTTTCTCCCCTGTTCTGATTGTGTCGCTCATCAGACGCAGGCGATGGGAGCCCGGAGAGTCGATTATTTGAACTGCCGATTTGAGTGACACCCTGTCATGCGTTCCTCTAGGGCTGAGAAGGGGGGGAGGGAGAGAAACTGCCAGCTGTCATTCCAGAGACGTATGGCTTGGTAAGGGGGAAAAAAAAAATCAGTCTGGAGGGCTGATCGTTGCTTATTTAATTGGAAGCTTCCCACTGGCTGAAAAGATGGAAGGTGAGAAATGATGTGGCTTTTATCGGATAGAAGGTATACCGCAAGTAGTGCTCGACTTTACGACCGCGATGGAGCCCCAATTTTCTGTTGCTAAGTGAGACTGGGGTCACTCCCAAGTTTGCTTTTTCTTAAACCTCCCTTTTTTCCCCCCGAACCCTTCCATTTTTGACCTTTTTGAATTTTTTTCCTCCCCTTTGTTTTTTTTTGTTTTTTTCATAATCATAAGTTTATTTGTCAAGCATATATAAGAAAACAGGTAAAAGTATAAACATAATTTGAATAAAGAGTAAGTAAAAAGGAATATTAGGACAGGGACGGAAGGCACGCTGGTGCTCTTATGCACGCCCCTTACAGACCTCTTAGGAATGGGGTGAGGTCAACAGTAGACAATTTAAGGTTAAATTTTGGGGGATTTGGGGAAGAAACCACAGAGTCAGGTAGTGCATTCCAGGCATTGACCACTCTGTTACTGAAGTCATATTTTCTGCAATTGAGTTTGGAACGATTTACCTTGAGTTTGTGTCTCTATTGTGTGCTCGTGTATTGTTGTGGTTGAAGCTGAAGTAGTCGTTGACAGGAAGGACATTGTGGCAGCTAATTTTATGTACAATGCTTAGGTCAGACTGAAGTCGGCGTAGTTCTAAATTGTCTAAGCCCAAAATTTGGAGTCTGGTGGCATAAGGTATTTTATTGCGGTTAGAGGAATGGAGGACTCTTCTCGTAAAATATCTCTGAACTCTCTCGATTATATTTATGTCCGATATGCAATGCGGGTTCCAGACAGATGAGCTGTATTCAAGAATTGGTCTAGCAAATGTTTTGTATGCTCTAGTTACTAGTACAACATTACCAGAGAAGAAACTACGCAAGATTAGGTTAACAACTCTTAATGCCTTTTTGGCAATTTTGTTACAGTGGGCTCGGGCACCTAGATCTTTAGAAATGAGTACTCCAAGTTCCTTGACAGAGTGAGGGTCATCTACGAGGTCATCTCCATATAATTTGTATTTTGTGGAAATTCAAAAGCTAACAGCTCTTTTGTCATAAGCCTGCAATTTTTTCTGCTCCTCCCTGGCTAAATTCAAGCCTGGCAAATTCTTTTTACCTTCTCTTTGCTGTTCTCTCTGCTTAAACAGGAGATCGAACCACCAAAAAAAATCCATCAACTTTCAGCAACCCACTGTTTAATTTGGAGAACTACTGAGCCCAGAACAGGAGAAGACTGGCCAATCTGGTTTTGAACCAGACAAGTGACAGTAATATTTCTGGATGCAAATAGCAGGACATTGTACACTAAGATCGACCACTGCTTTAAGTTGGTCACTTCTACAGACAGGATGACTGCGTATAGTCTTAAAAGTAAAGATTAAAAAGTACAGTTCATGAGTGAAATTCATATAACAAATACAGAACTGTTCTTTGGATGGCCAGCAGTCCCAACGAAGAATGACAGCTCATCAGATCCATGAGTGGAGAACGCTAGCTTGATCATAGGCACCCTGGCATTTTATTTACAGAGGCAATGTAGGGTAGATTCCCGAGGCAAAGGCTTAACAAAATTCAAACATTTGATTAATGACCAAGTTTGACTAATGGTGGTCGTTCCTCCAACAGTCCAAAATGCTGGATTATGCAACTCAGATCAATGCTATCAATCCAAAGCCAAGCCAAGCCAAGCCAAGCCAAGCCAAGCCAAGCCAAGCCAACCAAACAAGTCAGTTCAACCCAACCCAACCCAACTCAATCCAGCAACCCAACCCAATGCAACCCAATGCAATGCAATGCAACACAATGCAATGCAACGCAACTCAACTCAACCCAACCCAACTCAAGTCAGCTCAATCCAACTTAACCAAATCGAACCCAACACAACTCAATCCACCAACCCAACCCAATCTGCACAGCCATCATGGACCAGCAAAAGCAATTCAAGATCAATTTTCCCCAAAAATTGTGCTGGGTGGGGGTATGGTGGAAAGGATAAAGGACACCAAAGAGAAAAATGTGTTTGCCACCTATCTTGCTGTGAGGAGTTATTCCAGATATACCTACCACGAGCAGAGAAGACTTTTGTTATGCAAGAATTAAGACTGTTTGCAGAAGTGCTTCCTTAATTTATAGCAACCGCCTTAAACATCAGATGTGCACCTTTGCAATTTCACCTCTCTTAGGAGCTGGTCTACAATCTGGCAAAAATGCCAGGCTGACTAATCTACCCCACGTTACTCAAGGGAACCTTCTGAAGGATCTCTGCTGCTAAAGGTCTTAATGAAGGGAGCAGATTTCCCAAGACAGCTTTCCCTCCCCCTGTCCAACCGGCAATTACAAAGTGCCCTGAAGCAAAGAGATCAGCAGTTCTAAATTTTAAATCATCTAAATTGTGATTTTAGGCTCTACAATTGACACACGCAGCCTTTTGGGATACACTGATGGGAGTAGTTAAGTAAGTCACACAGGCCCAGTTCTACCTACATATGTACATAAAAGTAAAGATAAAGGTTCCCATTGCACATATGTGCTACTCATTCCCTACTCTAGGGGGTGGTGCTCATCTCCATTTCAAAGCCGAAGAGCCAGCACTGTCTGAAGACATCTCCGTGGTCATGCGGCCAGCATGACTAAACGCCAAAGGCGCATGGAACACTGTTCCCTTCCCACCAAAGGTGGTCCCTATTTTTCTACTTGCCTTTTTTTACATGCTTGCCTTTCTTTTGGGTGGGGAAAACCTGGAAGCTTTCAGATTCGGGTTTTCCCAGTGGTGCCCATATGACATCTCTCATAAAATGGAACTTTGAGGAACTTCTACCCTTGGCGTCTTCTACAGAGGAATTATTGAGTCTGTCATTTGCATCTTTATAACTGTCTGATTTGGTTCTGCAACCCAACAAGACAGACACAGACTTCAGAGGATAATTAGAACTGCAGAAAAAACAATGGCTACCAATCTGCCTTCCATTGAGGACCTGTATACTGCAGGAGTCAAAAAGACGGCTGGGAAAATATTTACAGATCCCTTGCATCCTGGACATAAACTGTTTCAACTCCTATCCTCAAAATGACGCTATTGAGCACTGCACACCAGAAAAACTAGACACAAGAACAGTTTTTTCCTGAATGCCATCAATCTGCTAAACAAATAATTCCCTCAACACTGTCAAACTATTCATTAAGTCTGCACTACTATTAATCTTCTCATCGTTCCTATCACCATCTCCTCCCACTTATGACTGCAAGAGTGTAACTTTGTTGCTTGTATCCTTACAATTTATATTTACATTGATTTTTTCTTGATTGCTTATTTGTTCCCTATGACTATCATTAAGTGTTGTATCTTATGATTCTTGATGAATGTATCTTTTCTTTAATGTACACTGAGTGCGTATGCACCAAGACAAATTCCTTGTGTGTCCAATCACACTTGGCCAATAAAAAATCTATTCTATTCTATTCTATTCTACTCTACTCTACTCTACTCTACTCTACTCTACTCTACTCTACTCTACTCTACTCTACTCTACTCTACCCTACCCTACCCTACCCTACCCTACCCTACCCTACCCTACCCTACTCTATTCTGTTCTTCCATCATTGGGGGTGTTACTTGGAACTCTGACATGATCCATATGATTGAGATAGAACACTTTCTACATCTATTTTCTTGATAAATACAGAGGGTTGTCCTTAGAGCTGCATTGTAGCACTCTACTGAAATTTGAAGGAGGATAAGAATCACGGCAGATATACAGGCAGTACTTGAAAGGGTTAATGTATCCATTTCCCAACTTTGCCAAGCAACGCTACTAACAGAAGGATGCAATTTTCCACCTGAAAATACTGTAATGTTAGAAGGAGGCAACCCCATGGCTTTACGTAAATACCAAGAATATCATCTTACATATCCTTTTCGAGTCAAGAAATAACCTGCATTATAGATTATACGTATATTTGAAGAATAGAAGTTAGCTGTGAATGATCTACCGAATAAGAACTTAGAACCCATCTTGATAACCAATCAGAACAATGGTCTTAGGACCCGGTGTAGAAAATTCTCTTCAAAATTGCTCTCTGATGGCATATATACAGAAGCAATAGTATACAACAGTGAATGAAACTCGGTAACTCTTCTTTTCATTGGTGTCCACCAAAACAAAGCAAGAAATCTACTCAAGGTAGCATCTCTGTGACATCTCACATTTCCACTATCCACATTTGGGGACTCCAACCTTGGCAACTTTAAGACTTGTGGACTTCACCTCCCAGAGTTCCCCAGCCAGCATGGGGAATTCTGAGAGTTGAAGTCCACAAATCTTAAAGTTGCCAAGATTTGGACACCTCTGATCTACAGCAGATGAAACTTCAACTGGTTGTAAAGCCAATATTGCTTTTCGCCACGATAGATTCTCTTTCCTTGCAAGCATTCAACAGCCAAGATCCCGTGACCTCCAAAGAGATAATACAGATAGCTCAAACTCTTCTAGATGACATACATTAATGGATTCACCTTGTTCAAAATTTGCTGAGAAAAATGTAAGACTTACTTTGAAGAGTACAAATCCTTCTTGTCAGCCGATCCCAGGCTCTGAAAGACAGAAAACCATAACATTTAGTCCCATGTCCTCCTTAGGAAAGCAAAAGAATCATAAAAATAACAAGCTAAATGTCGGAAATGTAACCAGTTACCGGGTTCTTATTATCACATGTGGTGGACATGTCCAAAGACAAAAAAAAAATTGGGGGGGGGGGGGCGAAAATACATACGTGGTTAGAAAAAATGATAAAACAACACATAGACTTAAAATCAGAAATATTTTTGTTAGGTATATTACCAGATAACTATAATAAAGGGATTACATATTTAATATTACATGTGCTGACAGCAGCGAGAATTGTATTTGCACAATATTGGGAAAATGAGGGTACGCCTAAAGATGGAAACATACTTAGAAAAATATTAGATTGTGCGGAGATGGATAGATTGACATTAAAAATAAAAGATAAGGTGATTATCTTATCGTTATCTTTATCAGTGATTAGATAAAAAAGGTAGAAATTGGAAGACAAATGATACTGTAATGTATAACAAAATGATATAAGACTTTCATTACATATAAATAAATATTAATATTACTATTATGATTATTACCACTATTACTACAAGTACTATTATTATTTTGTAAAAGCAAATTGATCCAGACAATACACTGTTTTTTAAATACTTATGTATATCAAAGTAAAAAAATGTATAAATAAAAATGACATCAAGCATGCCATCGTTCGTCTAGATGGCACAAGTAAAAGTTGAGTTTTCACCTTTGGTTATTTGGTTCCAACCCTTCATATGTCAGAAATAAATGGAAATGGTGGGATTCACAGCAATGGGAAGAAAATGGAACATCTAGATCAGGGGTGTCTAATCCTGGCAGCTTTAAGACTTGGGGACTTCAAATCCCAGAATTCCTCAGGTAGCATGGCTGGCTGGGGAATTCTGGGAGTTGTAGTCCCCCCCCCAAGTCTTAAAAGTTGCCAAGGTTGGTTGTCTCTGATTTAGATGCTTTAATTATGCATTTTTCAAGGGTCTGGTGCCCCAATATTCCTTCAACTAACCCAGTCTTATGGCAAAAATTCAGAGCACATCAACTACCTGCTAGTCCACAAGAAAATAATGGAAATTACCATGAACCCCAGCAAGGACCTATTGCAAAAAAGGGGGGGGAAAAGGGGGGGGAGGAAGGGAAGGGGAAGGGGAAGGGGAAGGGGAAGGGAATGGGAAAGGAACCTAAGGAAAAAGGGCATTGCTAAATCCATGGTTTGTATCACAGAAGATTAAATCTCATCCATTTTCCAAATGAAGCAGAAAATAAGAAGGTCACCTACCAGAGACCAGAAAATAAAATGGAACTAATGAGCTTGAAGGGATGCGGTAGGCTAAGACGCCGAGCTTGTCGATCAAAAGCTCGGCAGTTCAGCGGTTCGAATCCCTAGTGCTGCGTAGTGGGGTGAGCTCCTGTTACTTGTCCCAGCTTCTGCCAACCTAGCAGTTCGAAAGCAGGTAAAAAATGTGAGTAGAAAAATAGGGACCACCTTTGGTGGGAAGGTAACAGCATTCCATGAGCCTTTGGCATTGAGTCATGCCAGCCACATGATCACGGAGACGTCTTCGGACAGTGCTGGCTCTTCGGCTTTGAAACGGAGATGAGCACCCCCCCTAGAGTCAGGAACGACTAGCACATATGTGCGAGGGGAATCTTTACCTTTACCTTTAATGAGCTCAACAAAAAGACAATTTCACAGACTCTTGTATTTAATCAAGTACAATTTAATGCCTCTTCTTGGAAGTTCGGCTTCTTATAGCTCGTCATATGTGAGTCCAACCGGAAAGTCTATCGCTTGGAGAAATCCTTAACTTTAGATATTCTTAGTTAGGCTCATAAATTACAGTTCTTGCTAGCTAAGCAGAATCTGGCTTGAGTCTAGCAATTCTGCACCATCACTTCTGCTACAGCTGGACCCATCCTGTGGGAAATGGGACAACATCTGTCTCGCACAATGCATCGTCTTCCATAAATTCCATTGCAAATATTTTTTTCAAAGGTTTGGAAGCTGGGAGTTTTCTCCTTTACTCTTTGAAAGCAGATGGGGCTACTGGATCCCAAATCTCTATTTAAATTCATGCTTTGTTTTCCACAAACTTTCTCCATGCCAGTCTACCAATGGGGTTGAGAGATTCCCGTGAGCTATCTTTCCAAAACACAACTCATCCATCTTCTCTCATTTTGTTGACAGGTGTCCTTATTCCCAAGTAACTTAAGTCTTGATAGAGACTTGATAGTACAGTGGTATACGCACCCTGTTATTAACACAGCTGCCTGCAATTTCTGCTGGTTCGAATCTCTCCAAGGCTCAAGGTTGACTCAGCCTTCCATCCTTTCTAAGGTAGGTGAAATGAGGACCCAGTTTGTGGGGGCAATAAGCTGACTTTGTATAAAATATACAAAAGTATGAAGGCTATTGCTTAACGCATTGTAAGCCGCCCTGAGTCTCCGGAGAAGGGCGGCATATAAATCAAATAAAAAAAATTAAAAAAAAGTCTTTGACAGAATCCTAAATTACCCGGTCAAAAAAAGGTAGCATTTGCAAGGCAAAAACAGAATCCAGGCTGAATTCAAACCAAAATTGTATTTGAAATACAAATTAAATACGTGTTTGCAAAGAACTCAAATTCACTGTGGATCTTCAGGATTGGTTTAAACAAAGGTGTATTCTGTGTTTCCTATACCTGCTCAGGTATAGGAATAATTATTATTGCAATACAATAATATTCTACAATAATTATTGTAGAATAATCATTGCAAATTGGCAAATCCATCAGCACTCATTTCATATATTAGTGAAAATATAACACTGAGGTGTCAATTTTCAAAAACATTGAATTGTACATCTGGATTCCTACCTTCCCTTAAGTCATCTAACTAAAAGGATGGTTTAAAACAAGGTAGGAATCCAGATGCAGAATCCAACGTTTTAGCTCATCGAAGTTTGTTGAATACACCATCATTCAATGGATTCAAACATGGCAACCATGTTATGGTTCACAAACCACAATGGCTGGTTTCATTCGATGCACCAAATTCAACCCAACATTATAGCTTTTCTCTTTTGTTGTCCTCATCCCTCCCTTCTCATGTTGGGTCAGCAAATGCGGAAGGAAGGAAGCACACTTCGAATCATCATCTACAAGCCCACTGCTCATCTTCGTAAGAGATAGATCTTGATGCACCAGCTCCCTCCTACTAAACTGATATTTTTCAACCTTGGGAATCTTAAGACTCCCAGAATTCCCCAACCATGCATGGTAGTTGACATCTAGACATCTTGAAATTGCTAAGGTTGAGAAAGATTACACTATAAATGAGTCCTACTCTCATATTAGAACCAACTCCAGAGAGAGAGAGAGATTTCTTGAGGGTTACTTTCATCTGCTACGAGCAGGGGTGGGATTCTACCGGTTGGGACCGGTTCGGGTGAATTGGTAGCGCCGATGATCAGCTGGGAGCGAACTGGTTCTCTCCAACAATCAGGTGGGCCTGCCCACCTGCCCCTGCGTTTTACTGACCTATATTTTCTCAGCTGATTCGCGTGGCAGAGCGGATTGCCTCAGCTGTGTTACTCCCCAGCAGTAACGCGGAAGGTAAGTATTTGTAAAACTGTGCGAAGGGCACGATCACCGAACCAGTTGTTAAACCAGCAGGATCCCACCGCTGATTACAATGTCACCGTAATACAACAGTCTTTAGGCACTGGCATACTATTTATTTTGCATTTGGACATAGAAAATCCTAAAGCATGAAAGAGTCAACAGAGCTGTTGACTCTTCATGCTTTCATAGGTGGGAGGAGCAAATGTGGAGAAAAGAGGGGAGGGAGGCAGGCAGTGGTGGGTTTCAAATTTTTTTACTACAGGTTCTGTGGATGTGGCTTGGTGGGCGTGGCTTGGTGGGGGTGGCAGGGGAAGGATACTGTAAAATCTCCATTTCCACCCCACTCCAGGGGAAGGATACTGTAAAATCTCCATTCCCACCCCACTCCAGGAAAAGGATACTGTAAAATCTCCATTCCCATCCCACTCCAGGAGAAGGATACTGTAAAATCTCCATTCCCACCCCACTCCAGGGGAAGGTTACTGCAAAATCCCCATTTCCTCCCTGGGACTCGGGAGGCAGGGAATAGATGGGGGCGGGGCCAGCCAGAAGTGGTATTTACCGGTTCTCTGAACTACTCAAAATTTCCGCTACCGGTTCTCCAGAATTGATCAGAACCTGCTGAAGCCCACCTCTGGAGGGAGAGAGAGAGAGAGAGATGGAGGGAGAGAAGGAAGGAGGGAGGGAGGGAGGGAGGGAGAGAGAGAGAGAAAGAAAGAGAGAGAGAGAGAGAGGGAGGGAGGGAGGGAGGGAGGGAGGCAGGAGAGAGAGAGAGAGAGAGACCTAACCTTAGATCCAGATTGTTCAAGCTTTCAGAATGTTCTCAAGATCCTTCAGGGCCATTCAACCAGAGGTTTTTCCCTCCCCCCTTTTTTTTATTAGCTGCCGTGCTCCTTGTATTTGAAGAATGGGGGAGACGAAGTTGGTGCTTGCCTGCTAGCAGCATACTTGCACTCTCAAACTAATGTTGTATTTTCACATTGTGGTTGCCAGGCAGCGACTACAAGACAATTCCAAAGGAGGGAGAAAGCCATCACCGGGCAGAATACTAATCAATGGTGCAAATAAATTGTTCACCGGCTGAGATTCCCCTCCTAGAAACCGTCATTCACAAACTCAGGCCCAGAGTCTCACGTGCAAAAGTAAAAGGAGAAGGCATCATTCTAGACCTCAAGTTTCCCAACTGCAAGATCAAACAAAACTTGGATTTTAATGCTACTGTTCTCCTTCCTTTATATTTTTTCCCCCAAGAGATCTGATCTTTCCTGTGTATACATGCTACATGCAGCATGTGTAAGGTCAACATCATTTAGACCCATGCTCATAGAAATTTGATTAATAAATAAATAAATAAATAAATTATGAAGGCAGTGATCATTAGG